CTCCTCTCATTCTGCTCCTTTCTGGCCGGTATTGTCACCTGTGAACAGGTGCTTTAGCCCCTGTTAGCTAGCTCACCTGTTAGCTAGCTCACCTGTTAGCTAGCTCAGGTGTTAGCTAGCCCACCTGTTAGCTAGCTCACCTGTTAGCTAGCTCACCTGTTAGCTAGCCCACCTGTTAGCTAGCTCAGGTGTTAGCTAGCCCACCTGTTAGCTAGCTCAGGTGTTAGCGGGGGGGATGTGGAGGAGGAAGCTGAGGATCAGCCGGAGCAGCTGCACGCCTCCGTGAGTCGTTGTGTTGTTGAGTTTTGTTGGTTTGTTGTTGGATTTAGAGTGGAATATGTGTGTCGGTGCTGCTCAGGAACTAAGGAAATGCTGAATGTGGCTGTTTTTGGTGCTTCTTCTTGGTCAGAAAAGAGTTTTTTGACAGTTTTTTGGTAAAAATGTCTCATTTTGCATGTGATCATTTTAAAAAATGTCATAGTTCGTTCTCATTTAAAGTAATTTTATCTCATCTTATCTTGTTTTATCTCATTTGAACTAATGTCATCTTGTTTTATCTGATCTAATTTAATCTAATTTCTTAGAACCCTTTAAAGCCTAATCCAAGAATAAAACTGAACAGAAAATTCTTGTTTTTTGGTTCGAATTCCTTGTTTGGCCTTTTAACAAAATATGTAAAAAGAAAAAACAGAAATACATTTTTTATATTAATAATTTATTACTATGCGATAAGTCAAGATTATTTTTTGTGTAGTCTTCTGCCCCCTGTTATCAGGTGTATCTGATTGTGTACAATAGGATTTTGGGCAAAGTTTTTACCATTAAATTAGGCAAAAGGAGTCAGAAGCAAAACATTTCAGAAACCGTATGTATCAAATATGATACATTTGGCATTACAGGGTTAAAATCATGTTTCATAGTGAAGGAAATGGCTCGGCTCTTTGCTCTGGATCCTAAAATCCACTCAGGATGCCACATGACACCTAAAATCAGCTCAAATTATTAATCCACCGTAATACTATCACAGTTTGAATCTTAAAGAGAGCAAAAAAGTCATAATTCAATCACTCTTTAATTTAAAACTCTTTAATTTAAAACAATAACGTTATTGTCTGGCACGTGAAACTCTAACTGCCTAATTAATGGGAGTTATTTTCCTCTGGGAGCAGATGAAGTTCACTTCAGGTGATTCAGGAAAAAATCTGCATGAAAAAGACCTGATTAAGACCTTAGAGGTCAGAAATGTGTAATCAAATCTCCACTAAATGCTCAGGACTGCTGCCTCCTCTGGGATAATTCTCCTATATGATCCTACACTCATTCAGATTGTTTCCTGTTTTGAGATTCTTTTTGTGTGACAGTAGAGACGCTTTTCATTTTTTACTTTTACCTTCGTGCTTCTGTTTTTTACTCTGCAGGTTGTTTATTTTAGGCCTTTAAAGCCTGACCCAAGAAAAATAGGAAGAATATTGGATTTTTTTTAGTCTGAAGTCTTTCTTTGGCCCCTCAACAACATATGAAGAAAAAAAACAGAAATTATTTTGAGCAAATTAGCGTGCAATAAGTCAAAAATATATTTCCGTGTTTTCTACTGGCTGTTATCAGGTATATCTGAATGTGTACAACAGGGGTTTGAGCAAAGCTTTTACCACTGAATGATGCAATAAATCTCAGATCCAAAAGACTTCAGAAACCGTATGAATCAAATATGACACACATGGCATTATAGGGTTAGGCAGAATCTCTATTAGTAATGGTTTAACTTACAGCTGTGGTCTGCTATAGCTATATTTATGGGTCTTAGTTTAGTTTTTTCAGGGACAGATTCCCAAAGTTTGAGAATATATTCTGACTTCTCTTTATTTAAAGAAACCTCCTGCAACCAGACATAATCTCCCCTCACTCAACATATATTTACTGTCATGTTAAGATATCTTAATGTACGACATCAAAACCCACCAGCTCAAAAAGCCAGGAGCTACATCTCAGACTCAGCAGGTCAAAGGTCAAAGGTCAAAGGTCTGGTTAGCAAAGCTGCATCTGAACAGACTTCTGGAACAAAGAGTCTTTAATGCACTTTTTAGGGAGATTGTGGCCTTTCTGAATGTTTTTTCGAACACTCTGGTGGCCTCTATCACGTCTGAACGCCAATATGTTGGAACCAAATAAGCTTATGTTCATTAAAGCTCGCTAATGAAGGTAAATGAATTAAAACAATGCTTTAATTTACATAAAGTTAATTGGAAAACGTGCCATCAATAGTGGTCCCACCCTTTTTATCCAGCTCACAAAACAACAGATCCAGAGGATCAGACCCCTCAGAAGGAATGAATCTTTAAAGCTAATAGCTCAAAGCATTGTCGGCACGGCGGGGGAGGGATGATGGTTTGGGCCGGTTATGCTGCCTTCAAACCTGCAGACCTCAATGAGCTGAAGCAACCATAAAAATAAGAGATGAGACAGAATTACTCCTCTACTTCATAGTTTAGAGGACAGTTTTTCCCAGGGAAATAAGAAGGTTTACTTTCTTTATTAATGCAACAAAATGTGTCTGATACTTTTCAGTCGGTCAGCTGTCAAAAACTTAACTGAAAGCTTGAAATATCTGGGTTTTGTTGACAAAATCCAGAGATCTGAGCTGCCAGAGTGGAACCGTGAGCACTAACAGGGCGTCTTGTTATAAAAACAGCAGCTAATTAAAGAAATCAGGACTCTGAAGCGTCACATCGAGTCCTCTGAGCTTCCAAAGTCACAGCAAATCCTCGTCTTATAAACCCAGAACGCCGTCAAACTCTTCCTAAAGGCAAGAAATAATAAATAAATAAATCCCATTTTGAACATGGGGCTTTAATTACACATCAGCCAGTTACGAAACAACCACAAAATAAAGTTTCCTGCCCTGGGATTGGCTCTGGGAATGATGTCATCCTCTGACTGATTATTTGTGTTTGCATGATGCCAAGTTCCCACAGAAGCTGGTTGTGCAATCGCCTTATTCTTCTCACACTGTCATTAACACCTATTTTGGATCTGTATATGCACATATTGTCAAGTCAAGTCAAGTCAAATGTAATTTATTGAGCACTTTTAAAATAACCGGAGTTTCCAAAGTGCTGTACAGGTAAAAATAAACATAAAAAGCGAACATTTTACAACAATTTACACACATATATGCAACTTTAATGTAAAATAAAGAGGTAAAAAGGTGCTCTACCTCAACCTAAGGTTAAAATGTTAAAAGCCATGTCAAATAAATTAGTTTTTAAAGAGGACTTAAACACCTCTACGGTCTGGGCAGATCTTATATTAAAAGGCAGGCTATTCCTGATTATATTATTGATATTGTTACTTATCAATATGTATTCATATTTTATGTGAAATGTTGTATACATGTATATATGCATAGACATGTATATATGTATATGCTGTTGTATTTCTGGAGTTGGTAACAAAAATAATTTCCCTCTGGGATTATTAAAGTATTTCTGATTTTTGATTTCGGATGTGTTTTCTGTCCTTTTTCCTTCCAGAGCTGAAAAAACGGAGGTGTTGAGTGAAGACCTGCTGCAGGTACTGAAGTCCCATCGGATGTGTGTGTTTGTGTTTAATAAGCGCCGAAATAAGAATAAATAAATCATTCGTCTGAGGATAAAAGGCCCAATCCGACTTATCTGTGAAGACTCTCAGCTGAAAGCTACCTTTAACCCTTTAAAGCCTGATCCAAGAATAAAACACAACAGAAAATTACTTTTTTTAAGTCTTTATTTGGCCTTTTAACAAAATATGTAAAAAGAAAAAACTGAAATACATTTTTAATATTGATAATTTATTACTATGCGATAAGTCAAGATTAGTTTTTGTGTAGTCTTCTGCCCCCTGTTATCAGGTGTATCTGATTGTGTACAATAGGATTTTGAGCAAAGTTTTTACCATTAAATTATGCAAAAGGAGTCAGACGCAAAACATTTTAGAAACCGTAAGAATCAGATATGATACATTTGGCATTACAGGGTTAAACGTTCATCCTTCCACCAGCAGGATGTCTGGATGTAAAGGGGTTCATGACCTCATCTGTTAGTTGTTTTTATGGTCAAATGAGCCGCATTTTAGGATAAAAACTGGTGACTTTTTGTCTGTTTGTGTCTTCGGCTCAGAGGGAAATTGTCCACATGCAGAGCTCCTGTTTATCTGAATAAAATCTGCCTTTTCTCTCAGGTGGAGAAGCGTCTGGAGCTGGTCAAGCAGGTTTCCCACAGCACACACAAGAAGCTGACGGCCTGCCTGCAGGGCCAGCAGGGCGTGGACGTGGAAAAGAAGTCGGTGAGGTCGCCGTCGGTAAGAGGCCATCACACAAAAAACGCTCAGTTATAGTGTATCAATCTGCCCTGAAAGCCTCCAATACGCTTAACCCAATTTCTCAATTTCTCAATTTCTCAATTTTCCCAATTTAGTCCATTTCTCCCTGGAGATCAATAAAGTATATTCAATTCAATTCAATTCAATTAAATTCAACCCTTTAAAGCCTGATCCAAGAAAAATAGGAAGAATATTGGATTTTTTTAGTCTGAAGTCTTTATTTGGCCCCTCAACAACACATGAAGAAAAAAAACTGACATTATTTTGATCAAATTAGCGTGCTATAAGTCAAAAATATATGTTGGTGTAGTCTTCTACTGGCTGTTATCAGGTATATCTGAATGTGTACAACAGGGGTTTGAGCAAAGCTTTTACCACTGAATGATGCAAAAAGTCTCAGATCCAAAAGACTTCAGAAACCGTATGGATCAAATATGATACATTTGGTATTATAGGGTTAAACTGCACTCGATTTAGCTTCTGACAAGTTTATTATGCAGTCAGAAAACACGTTTCCCTTCACAATTCAATCCTTTATTTTCTGTCCATGTTGATGCAACTCCAGTAAATAAGATTTTACATTTTTGACAACAGTAAAAACGACAGAAGAGGCAGAAATCAAGTAATCTGGTCAATCTCAAGTCAAAAAGTACAGTTTAATACAGTTTTTCCAGGAGGTAAAGCCAGCCTGTCAGCTCTTTGGGAGTCAAATTAAAAGATGGATGAGTTTAAGCTTCCTTAAGTTAAAGGAAAGGGAAACATGGTTTGTAGGCTTGTAATATTCAGAGACTTGGAGGGGGTTGTTTTCATTCAGTTTGGTATTTGTTAAAGGCTTCAATTTGGCTTTAAGGTTCAAAACAGGAGTAAACTTTAGCTTTTTAGCTAGTTTCTCAATTGATTCAGTTCAGTTTAGTTTGTCAACCACAAAAAAAACTAATGTTTAAAAAAAAAACGTTTTTTAACATTTTAACTAGATGTATATTACAGAAACAATAAAGAAGCACATGCTTCTGTGCACATAGTTGTGGCTTTTTGTTAAAAATACGATTAAATATAAAAAATGTACCTTATAGATTTAGATTAATATGCAGGTTTACGGTAGGAAGGATGACCAACCGAATATCAGTAATCAAAATGTACTAACCACCTAAAACTCTTTGTCCTTATGTGAGGGCGTTGAATTTTTGCCTCTCTGTTCTATAATACTTAATTTTTTTCAACTTTGACCTATCGGCCTTGTAGTGACGCTATCAGGCACCGATGTTTGAAATCTACAAGAAAATAGTTTTATATGTTTTGTTTTTATTGTGTAATTCAAATGTTGTATTCAAGTCATTTGGATCTTTAAACCCAAATAGCAAAGAAATATAAAGATACATACACCATGATACCAGGCCAAGAGAGGAGAGGGAGGAGAGGTGCATCATGGGACAGAACAATAATAATTAGAGCAGTTTTCCTCTGAATTATTACAAAGGGCAAAGAGGGCGATTATAGAAACCTTGCTGAAATCTGTTGGGAATTTCATGTCAATTGCACATATAAAAATACGTTTATTTGGAAAATCTGTCCCACGCTCAACACTTATTTAACCTCCTTTGTTTGAGAGGTCCCTCGCAGCCCAGTTCTCTCCTCAGAAGGTTTTATTTATTAAAATGTGAGCGTGGCGAATGCTGAGGATGCAGGAGTGTGTGTGTGTTTCTGTGTGTGTTTCTGTGTGTGTTTCTGTGTGTGTTTCTGTGTGTGTTTCTGTGTGTGTTTCTGTGTGTGTGTGTTTCTGTGTGTGTGTGTTTCTGTGTGTGTTTCTGTGTGTGTTTCTGTGTGTGTCGGCGTTTTGTTTGACGTGTTGATCACAGTTTTCAGAGCTGAGCGGCAGATCGGGCTAAACTGAGGAGGCTGACTCATGTTTCTGTCTGTCTTCACAGAAAAAGCTTCCCCTGACCACGCTCGCACAATGTCTGGTGGAGGGGGCGGCCGTGTTAGGGGACGAGTCTCTGCTGGGGTAAAAACACACAAACAGATACCTGAGGTCCCCACATCCACTTCACCCTTCAGCCGCTTATACTGGAGTAGAGGAGTGGAGTAGAAGTACAAGTACTATATAAAAAATGGGCTTGAGTAAAAGTTGAAGTGTTCTTTCAACTCCATACTTAAGTGGAAGTCCGGAAGTACTCAGTTTTTTTTGTATTTTAGTATTGCAAGAAGAAGTATTCCAAAAACTCAATTATCGAAAGTACAAGTACTGGGTATATGTTAAAAAAGGCAGTCAAAAGTTTGATAGATATTGTTTATATTATTTCAAACGTGTGAAAGGCCATACAGGTGTTTACAAAAAAACAGAAAACTACATCTGCATTAGCATCAACAGCACTTCATCTACTATTATTTATTATTCCAGAGTCAGAATCCTGAGCTGAGCCTTTATGCTAGCATGTAGCATACAGCTAGCTAGCTAGGGTAGCTTTAGCTAACGTTATTATACATCTAGCCAGCTAGGTTAGCTTTAGCTAACGTTATTATACATCTAGCCAGCTAGGTTAGCTTTAGCTAACGTTAGCTGCTACGTCCTGAGTGAACAGGGAGAACTGAACTAGCGTATATTTACTAGCTTATATGTCATTGTATTTTTTAACTTATCTTGATATGCTTCTTCAGATTAGTTGGGGTATTTTTGATTTCGCCATCTTTCGGGAGGCAGTTTTTTGGTACTTAAGTTTTAAAGGGGACATATTATGCAAAACCAAGTTTTTAATCATTTGATTGTGTACATTTGGGACTGTGGAGGGCCTATCAGCAGGCAAAGTGTGAAAAAAAATGACTGTCAAGTTTTTGTGGGCTGCCTCAGTCTGAATCCAGGAGATAAATCAGGAGGTTTCAGGAGTGGGTAGTTTCTGACGTCATTAGCTCTAGCTCATTAATAATTATAATTATAATAATAATTAATTAATATTCCAGCCTTTCACCTGCATGTTGCCCCCCCCCCCTCAGCTTACTCCCCTATCTGTGGAGACGTCCTGGTAGCGTGAGCGTTAGCGTGGTAGCGTTAGCGTGGTAGCGTTAGCATGGTAGCGTTAGCATGGTAGCGTTAGCGTGCCGACGTGGGCACACCTCCCTGAAGAAGTGGGTGGATTGCCTGTGTCTCATTTGCATTTAAAGAGACAGGCACTCCAAAGCGAGCGCTCTGAACGGGGCTGTTTTGGGTTAGGGTTAGGGTTAGGGTTAGGGTTAGGGTTAGGCAGGGGGACTGAACTGCTATTGGGCTTCATCCTTATGGGATTTTGACCAAAGCTTGTCACAGACATTACATTAGGACACCAGGGAACTAGCTTAACTTGTTGAAATAGGGTATAATATGTCTCCTTTAAAGGCCGTGTTTTACTCCTGCAGGAAGATGCTGAAGCTTTGCGGAGAGACGCAGGAGAGACTCGCCCAGGAGCTGATCCTGTTCGAGCTCACCATCGAGCGGGACGTGATCGAGCCACTGTACGATCTTTCAGAGGTATGAAGCTGTTGCCGGGTAAATTAGAGACAGAATCCATTTAAAACTGATTAATTTCATCTCGTTATCGCTGTATTCAGGTTCTATCATCACAGGCAGATTAAGCAGATCGGATTTACATTGAAATATGTTTCCTTTTATTTTGAAATGATTGTGAAATAGTTTTTCCCCCTCTAAATACAAAATAAACATAATAATATCATCAAAATAATCCAAATTCTTGAGACGTTTCTATGGCCTTCAGGCCCTCAGGCAGCTCTCTGTGTAAAACAAACCTGGAAATCACTGATTTATAGGGTCAGGGTAACTTTTATAAAACACTGCCTGTGGATAAAGAATAAGCTCATGTTTTGACATCCGAAAACATCTAAAACCCAACAAAAAAGCTCCAGATGTTCACAGACAGATGTTAGAGGAGCTGCACAGCTGGAACTGGACTTTTTATTGAGCTGTTGCTGCCATCAGACTCAATATGAGTCAATAAAATGCTGACTAAAGGTCTAAAAATCACCAGAATTTTCTATTATTTCAGTGTCTTTTGGACATCATGGGCATGTTTACATTATATTTAGCATTATATTTAGCTCCTAGAACCAAACTTAAATTGAATGAGCTTGTATGATTTTTTTCAGAATTAAGATAAATGGGAAACTTTTGTTAAAGGGAGTTCATTCATCATAATACTTGATTCATCTCCTCAGGTGGAAATCCCAAACATCCAGAAACAAAGGAAACATTTAGCTAAACTGGTCCTGGACATGGACTCTGCACGCACAAGGTGAGTGTGAGTGACCTCATTGTTTGTGTGCGACCAGAAACCCCATCCCCTGGGAACGAACGGGCCCAAAAGTCTGGTCCCTCAGACGTGTGAAAAAACTCATTCACAATCACGCTTTTGTGTTTTGTTTATGTAAACAGGAAGTGGGACTTCAGATTTCTACCAAGTTTTTAGTTAATTGTGCTTTTTTGACCACTTTAACCCTTTAAAGCCTGATCCAAGAATAAAAATAAACTGAAAATGAATTCTTTTTGGTTTGAATTCCTTATTTGGCCTTTTAACAAAATATGTAAAAAAATAAAATAAAAATAAAATGTTAATATTAATAATTTATTACTATGTGATAAGTCAAGATTATTTTTTGTGTAGTCTTCTGCCCCCTGTTATCAGGTGTATCTGATTATGTACAATAGGATTTTGAGCAAAGTTTTTACCATTAAATTATGCAAAAGGTGTCAGACGCAAAACATTTCAGAAACCCTATGTATCAAATATGATACATTTGGCATTATAGGATTAAGGTTTTACGCAGGCCCTTTTTTCTGTGTTATTCTGCGTTTTAAACCTAAAGTTCAGCCATCTGAGGGTCCAATCAGAGCTGCTTTCCTGATGTGGAACACAGGAAATTGTGAAATCTCCTCTGAAGCCTCCCAGTGTTGTGTTTAAAGACTCCAGTTAAAGGGAAAACAGAGAGTCCACAACAGACACACAAAGTCCATCTGAGGCTGCACAGATGTGCAAAGATTAGCAGAAAAGTGTTTAATAACCTCTAAATGAACTGATTTTTCTACATATTCTTCATCCTAGCTTCCCCATAGTCCATTAATTCTTAAATTAGCCATTATGACGTTAATTTATTAACAATTTTTTGCACTTTATGTCAGGAAACTCTTTGAAAATATATTATTTATCTCGGTCAAGGCTTTTCCCGATTAAACTTAATATGGAATAAATAAAAACAGAAATTGTTAAGTTAAATTGGTTTTTTAAAGAAACTATTCAGCTTCGGAGCTGTACCAATATTTAGCCCAAAAATGTGCACATTTTATTGATATTAAAATGGGTTAAAACATGTATCTCTTTTAGAGACAAATATTTAATGGATTTTTTTGGGGGGAAATGCAGCTTATTTCAGCCACTTATGTCGGCATATGGTAACTTATTACGTTTTAACTAATTTCAACGTAGATTTTTCTCTGGAAATTGATTAAAAGTATTTTAAAAGGGCCAAAAGAAGAGGATGTCACTGGTCATTGAACGATGCCTTTGAAATTGCCTGCAGACATAAAAAAACAACAACCCTAAAGCTGCAGAACTGGGGTTTTCAGACTGTTTTATCTGCTTTCACAGCTGTAAAAACCTCTTTTTGGCCGTCAGAAGCTGTTTTCTGAACACTGAAAAGCACAATCGTCTCTGCTTATTCGCTGTCAGAACCGTGTCATCACAAGCAAGTTATTTTTCCTCCTCGCAGTCCAGTTTGTCAGTTTAATTTTTTTTTTATAAGTGACCCAAATATGAGGCAATTTTTCCCATTATCCCCCTGTGAGCTGAGCTCTTTGGGCACATTATCTGCTCTCACACAGAAAGACGGCGACAGACACGCGTACAAAGACCCGAAAGGACCGCCTGAATTACAGGGAAAATAGATTAAGTTGAAAAAATGAGGATGTATATATAGAGAGAGTTTTATTAACGTGTCAGCCAAAATCCATCTTTCAATTCAGGAAGCGTCTGATTTGTTCTAAAAAGCGTTAAGTGGAGTTAGACTCGCTGCTCTCAGCTTTTCTGCTGTAAAGCGGAGAAATGTTTGCCTCACAGGTACTACCAGTCCAACAAATCCTCGGGACTGTCCAGCAATCTGCAGCCAGCAGGAGCCAAGGCCGACCACCTCCGGGAGGAGATGGAGGAGGCTGCCAACCGCATGGAGATCTGCCGAGTCAGTGCTCGCTTTTCCCCACACAGGAGGAGCTTTTCAGGCCAAATCTCTGGGTTTCTCTCAATCAGAATCAGAAATACTGTAATAATCCCACACGGAAATTATTTATAATTATATTTAACTATATATAAAAGATGCTTTGGAGCTTAGTTACAAGATAACACTGGTTATTAATGTATTCCAAACTATCAGGATGCTTAAGGATGCTTTAGGACAAAAGATTATATAAATATATATGTTTAAATTAGTTTAAATGTGATAAAATCTATCTATCTATCTATCTATCTATCTATCTATCTATCTATCTATC